CACAACGCTCCCCCCCACCCCCCTGGCAACACAGGAAGAGTACCCCCCCCCCCCCTCGACTGCACGGATACAGCACCACCGAGCTCAATCCTCTCTCTCCATTCCCAGAGTAACAGAGAGACAAAGAAGGAAAGGCTATGACAGCATGCCATAGCCTTTCATAGTCAATACTCCCTGAGTATTGACAGGGATAGAGACACGAACAGAAACATAGACAGAAGTGTAGACAAAGAAACATAACAATAGACAGAGACAATAGAGAGATATATACAGACACAGACAGAGAGTCAAGTTGACAGACACAGACAGAGAGTCAAGTTGACAGACACAGACAGAGAGTCAAGTTGACAGACACAGACAGAGAGTCAAGTTGACAGACGCAGACAGAGAGTCAAGTTGACAGACAAATAGACAGAGAGTCAAGTTGACAGACAAATAGACAGAATGTGACGGAGAGAGAGCAGGTGCTCTCTTACCCGTCCTGAACATGGTGAGGGGTTGTGAACTGCTCAAGTGGTTGAGCAGTTCACTCAAGCCTGACACAAGGGAGTGATGTTCATGCTGCCGGTGAGAGAGTGTTGAGCACCTCCAGTGAGTGTTGAGCACCTCCAGTGAGTGTTGAGCACCTCCAGTGAGTGTTGAGCACCTCCAGTGAGTGTTGAGCACCTCCAGTGAGTGTTGAGCACCTCCAGTGAGTGTTGAGCACCTCCAGTGAGTGTTGATCACCTCCAGTGAGTGTTGATCACCTCCAGTGAGTGTTGAGCACCTCCAGTGAGTGTTGAGTACCTCCAGTGAGTGTTGAGTACCTCCAGTGAGTGTTGAGCACCTCCAGTGAGTGTTGAGCACCTCCAGTGAGTGTTGAGCACCTCCAGTGAGTGTTGAGCACCTCCAGAGAGTGTTGAGCACCTCCAGTGAGTGTTGAGCACCTCCAGTGAGTGTTGAGCACCTCCAGTGAGTGTTGAGCACCTCCAGTGAGTGTTGAGCACCTCCAGTGAGTGTTGAGCACCTCCAGTGAGTGTTGAGCACCTCCAGTGAGAGTGTTGAGCACCTCCAGTGAGTGTTGAGCACCTCCAGTGAGTGTTGAGCACCTCCAGTGAGTGTTGAGCACCTCCAGTGAGTGTTGAGCACCTCCAGTGAGAGTGTTGAGCACCTCCAGTGAGTGTTGAGCACCTCCAGTGACAGTGTTGAGCACCTCCAGTGAGTGTTGAGCACCTCCAGTGAGTGTTGAGCACCTCCAGTGAGAGTGTTGAACACCTCCAGTGAGTGTTGAGCACCTCCAGTGAGTGTTGAGCACCTCCAGTGAGAGTGTTGAACACCTCCAGTGAGTGTTGAGCACCTCCAGTGACAGTGTTGAGCACCTCCAGTGAGTGTTGAGCACCTCCAGTGACAGTGTTGAGCACCTCCAGTGACAGTGTTGAGCACCTCCAGTGAGTGTTGAGCACCTCCAGTGAGTGTTGAGCACCTCCAGTGAATGTTGAGCACCTCCAGTGAGTGTTGAGCACCTCCAGTGACAGTGTTGAGCACCTCCAGTGAGTGTTGAGCACCTCCAGTGACAGTGTTGAGCACCTCCAGTGAGTGTTGAGCACCTCCAGTGAGTGTTGAGCACCTCCAATGAGTGTTGAGCACCTCCAGTGAGTGTTGAGCACCTCCAGTGACAGTGTTGAGCACCTCCAGTGACAGTGTTGAGCACCTCCAGTGAGTGTTGAGCACCTCCAGTGACAGTGTTGAGCACCTCCAGTGACAGTGTTGAGCACCTCCAGTGAGTGTTGAGCACCTCCAGTGACAGTGTTGAGCACCTCCAGTGAGTGTTGAGCACCTCCAGTGAGTGTTGAGCACCTCCAGTGACAGTGTTGAGCACCTCCAGTGAGTGTTGAGCACCTCCAGTGAGTGTTGAGTACCTCCAGCGAGTGTTGAGCACCTCCAGTGACAGTGTTGAGCACCTCCAGTGAGTGTTGAGCACCTCCAGTGAGTGTTGAGCACCTCCAGTGAGTGTTGAGCACCTCCAGTGAGTGTTGAGCACCTCCAGTGACAGTGTTGAGCACCTCCAGTGAGTGTTGAGCACCTCCAGTGAGTGTTGAGCACCTCCACCTCAACACTCACACTCAGCTGCCACATTCTTAAATGATTTATTATCTATATAGACAGAGACAAAGGGACAGGGAGACAGATAAAAATACCAACACCCAAGAGACACAGAGAGGCGACCCGGGCACCGCCGAGTACCCCCGTTAGTGTATTTATATATTTGCATAATAACACACTTTATTTTGTTATTAGGTAATAAGAGCCAGATAAATGCTAAATATTGGCAATTAAAGGAATTTTAAGCAGAATACAACTCTCAACATTTTGTGTGGTGAAAATGTTAAGTGAATAAGTCAGAGTTGTGAGCAGCTGTGAGGATATCAACAGTGTTGCTAGTGAGAGGAGGGGCGATATCGACGCTATCTTTTATAATAGAAGGTATGTGTGTGTTACGACCAGTAACAGAACCAGACAATGTGACGAGGTCGTTACCTGACTTACACTTAACTTCACTTCAGTAACATTTGGCAAGTTACTCAACCCGCCCGCCTATTAGAGCCTCGCATTTTGACGTATACTCTACCTAAGCCCAACAATTGTCGTACTAGAAAATGGAAGCGGCTCGTAAAAGTGACATACTGTCCCGTTTTCTGTTTTGGGTCATCTGGTAGGTTAGGATAAGGGCACTTTAGTACGACAGTCTCTTGACGTTGGGAGACAACAGAAGCACGGAATGAGTTACTAAAACTGAGCCACTACTGCTATATTCAGCCTTTAAACTCTCAGACGAACACGTAAAACTTTTCCCTCAACACTATATTACTAAACTGTTTAAACTGTCAGACCGTCCGGCCTAGTGTGCAGGCAGCTACAGAACTTTTTCTGTGAATCTAAGCTACTGGAAGACATCCTAACAATCTGATCTAAATTTGCTTGACCTTTTTACTATTTTCAACTGAATCTTTAATACCTGGTTGATGGGGTTCTGGAAGTTATTCTACTCCCCAAGCCTAGAGGCTTGACTTGTGAGAGTTTGGTCCACCAGGCTGTTGCTTGGAGCGGCCCGCAGGCCCACATACCCATTACAGCCCGGTTGGTCCGGCACTCATTGAAGAAAACAATCTCGTTTTCTATTGAAGATGTCCACAGTTGTTCCGGCAATATTTCTTATACTCACTGGGAGGATGTTGAACAACCGCGGACCTCTGATGTTCATGCAGTGTTCTCTGATTGTGCCTATGGCACCTCTGCTCTTCACTGGTTCTATTCTACATTTTCTTCCATATCGTTCACTCCAGTACGTTGTTATTTTACTGTGTAGATTTGGGACCTGTCCCTCCAGTATTTTCCACATGTATATTATTTGGCATCTCTCTCGTCTCCTTTCTAGTGAGTACATTTGGAGAGCTTTGAGACGATCCATCTCGACGAGCAACCCGTCCTCTTAAAAATAACGTCACTTTTGGCTCGTATGCGCGGCGCTATGGCCAAATTTGGACGTAATTTGAAATGAAATCGACTCACAAAAGTGACGTTCTGTTCCGTTTTCTGTTTGAGTCGTCCGGCCCACGCGGAGAGGCTCGAGCTTTAATGACTCGCCTCCGGTTCAGTGTAGCAGTGAACGTTGCGGTGCAAACTTTTGTCAACCGCATTAGCAGTGCCATCATTCTCAGGCCGCCTAGTTTATTATTCTCAAGCTCTTAGTTGAAATATATTTACTAGAATCTGTAACTTATATTCTTGTATTAAGCTGATCATCTGTCCTGTGTGGCAGTGAATATGAGCAGCATCCTCACTGTCCTGTGTGGCAGTGAATATGAGCAGCATCCTCACTGTCCTGTGTGGCAGTGAATATGAGCAGCATCCTCACTGTCCTGTGTGGCAGTGAATATGAGCAGCATCCTCACTGTCCTGTGTGGCAGTGAATATGAGCAGCATCCTCACTGTCCTGTGTGGCAGTGAATATGAGCCGTACCCTCACTGTCCTGTGTGGCAGTGAATATGAGCAGCATCCTCACTGTCCTGTGTGGCAGTGAATATGAGCAGCATCTTCACTTAATGATGGCTTCCACCAACAGTGCTGGGTGGGCCAACGTAGCAGTGCTATTTTGGTTATACGAGCGGTGTTAGTTGACTTATATCAGTGGTGTTAGTGAGGCTATACCAGTGGTGTTGGTTATACCAGTGGTGTTGGTTATACCAGTGGTGATGGTGAGGCTACACCAGCAGTGTTTGGTTATACCAGCAGTGTTGGTTGGGTTATACCAACAGTGTTGGTTGGGTTATACCAGCAGTGTTGGTTGGGTTATACCAACAGTGTTGGTTGGGTTATACCAACAGTGTTGGTTGGGTTATACCAACAGTGTTGGTTGGGTTATACCAGCAGGTTAAGGTATGCTATACAAGTGAGATGAGTAGTGGTGTTACACCAGCCAGGAAGGTATGTGAAGGATGTCTTCGTAGAAGACATCCACAAGCCAACATACAACTGAACACTCCACACCCAAGAGGGATTCGAACCCAGACAGCCAGGAGCACTATGCAACTAGCGTACCTGGTACCTTAACCAGTTGCATATATGCTTGGGGACCATTCAAGCTTGTTTGCATTTGTGTTGCTCCCGTGGCCCCACAAAGTGAGGTGATTTGATGAAATAACTATACCCAAGCTTACCACCAAGTGCCGTCGGGACGGTGGGGAAATAGCCTCGGTTACCAATATCTTTTGTACGGTCATGGTTGGTCGAGTGGATAAGGTACCAGGTGCGCCAGTTGCATAGTGCTCCTGGCTGTCTATATATCTTCTCCTACCCCCCCCCCCGCCATCCATCAACAGTCAGTTACAACGAAAAGGTATTAACCTTTTCACACACACACACACACACACACACACACACACACACACACACACACACACACACACACACACACACACACACACACACACACACACACACACACACACACACAACTTACCAGCAAACAGGTTGGGTCGTCAGCAAGACAAAACCGGTTCAAGAGCGTCCGTGAGTCCGCGGTAGCACTACACCAATACAATAGGGGGGTGGGTGGGGGGGGGGGGGGGTAGTATAGGGATAGGGGAAGGGGGAGAAGAGGTCACGTGATGTATGATGTATATACACACACTGTATAACTTCACCCGGTCGTTGACAACACTGTTGGTTGGCTTCGTTAGCTTGCTCGGCCCCGGAGAGAGCGGACGTTGGTAACACTGTGGGAGCCGTTGGTCAGTGGGAACAAACACAAGAACTTGGCCGGGGACAAGTGAAGTGAAACAACTAAACAAAACACGACAAATAAAGTGGTTTTGTGAGATGTTATGACACAGGTGTTGGGCGGGATGTGTTGTCACGTGACAGGTGTTGATGGTGTTCATCACGTGACAGGTGTTGATGGTGTTCATCACGTGACAGGTGTTGATGGTGTTCATCACGTGACAGGTGTTGATGGTGTTCAGTGTTCCTCACGTGACAGGTGTTGATGGTGCTCAGTGTTCCTCACGTGACAGGTGTTGATGGTGTTCATCACGTGACAGGTGTTGGGCGGGATGTGTTGTCACGTGACAGGTGTTGATGGTGCTCAGTGTTCCTCACGTGACAGGTGTTGATGGTGTTCACTGTTCATCACGTGACAGGTGTTGATGGTGTTCACTGTTCATCACGTGACAGGTGTTGATGGTGTTCACTGTTCATCACGTGACAGGTGTTCAATAATGTGCTCTCTATATAAAAACCTGATATTTATATTGTTTAACATATAGAATGAACACCAATAATATTACTAGTTCAAGGAAGGGGGAACACAGGCGGTGTTCCAGGAGCTCATGTGAACAGGTCGTGGTGTTCAGAGCCTGGGCATGAACACGGGTTCAACAAGGCGGCAGATTTCATTAGTGAACTTTTATCAAGGAAGATTGGAGGAGAGAAATTTAGCGAAGTGATCGCGAAACTAACAGGAGACGCCAATTTACCCAAGCGATGTATGCTAAGTTGATTAGCCAATAGGGGAGAGAGAGCTGAGATGGGTGGCTGGTTGACTTGGTAGACGGGTTGTTGACTTGTGGGTAGACAGGGAAAGACAGACAGACAGACAAGACAGAAGGACAGACAATAGGCCCCGGCAAATTAAATAAACTTAAACGTATTGAGAAGCGACAAGGCGAAGGTAAAGTGGTGGAATACCCAGACCTGCCTGGCAGGCTAGGCTAGGGCAGGCTAGGCTAGGGCAGGCTAGGCTAGGGCAGGGCAGGCTAGGCTAGGGCAGGCTACGCTAGGTTAGTCTAGGCTAGGGTAGGATAGGGCAGGCTAGGGCAGGCTAGGCTAGGCTAGGCTAGGTTAGGGCAGGCTAGGCTAGGGCAGGACGGACGGAGGTGGACATAGATGAACAGTGAGAGAGAGAGAGACGGAGAGAGAGAGAGAGAGAGAGAGAGAGAGAGAGAGAGAGAGAGAGAGAGAGAGAGAGAGAGAGAGAGAGAGAGAGAGAGAGAGAGAGAGAGAGAGAGAGAGAGAGAGAGAGAATGAGAGAGAGAATGAGAGAGAGAATGAGAGAGAGAGAGATGAGAGAGAGAGAGAGAGAGAGAGAGAGAGAGAGAGAGAGAGAGAGAGAGAGAGAGAGAGAGAGAGAGAGAGAGAGAGAGAGAGAGAGAGAGAGAGAGAGAGAGAGAGAGAGAGAATGAGAGAGAGAATGAGAGAGAGAATGAGAGAGAGAAAGAGAATGAGAGAGAGAGAGAGAGGAAAGAAGATTGTACACAGGGGAAGTAAACTGAATGAACTCTCTCCACCAACCACTCTCCACCAACCACTCTCTCCACCAACCAATCTCTCCACCAACCATTCTCTCCACCAACCACTCTCTCCACCAACCACTCCACCAACCACTCTCCACCAACCAATCTCTCCACCAACCACTCTCCACCAACCACTCTCTCCACTAACCACTCTCTCCACCAACCACTCTCCACCAACCACTCTCCACCAACCACTCTCCACCAACCAATCTCTCCACCAACCACTCTCCACCAACCACTCCACCAACCACTCTCCACCAACCACTCTCTCCACTAACCACTCTCTCCACCAGCCACTCTCTCCACCAACCACTCCACCAACCACTCTCCACCAACCACTCTCCCACAACCACTCTCCCACAACCACTCTCCACCAACCACTCTCCACCAACCAATCTCCACCAACCACTCTCCCACAACCACTCTCCACCAACCACTCTCCCACAACCACTCTCCCACAACCACTCTCCACCAACCACTCTCCACCAACCACTCTCTCCTCAAAGAGACGATGACTCAAGACTTGTTCAAACCATCTTGTATTGGCCGATGAGAAAAGCCATTTGCATGTTTTGGTGGATGGAGCAGGTCAAGATGGATGTGTGAGTGTGGGTGATGGATGTGGGAGTGTGGGCGATGGATGTGTTAGTGTGGATTACAAGCTCTGGACGTGAGAGTTTGGATAAAAAGATCTGGATGTAAGAATGTGGTTGACAAGCTCTGGATGTAAGAATGTGGTTGACAAACTCTGGATGTAAGAATGTGGTTGACAAGCTCTGGATGTAAGAATGTGGTTGACAAACTCTGGATGTAAGAATGTGGTTGACAAGGTTCTGGATGTAAGAATGTGGTTGACATGCTCTGGATGTAAGTGTGGTTGACAAACTCTGGATGTAAGAATGTGGTTGACAAGCTCTGGATGTAAGAATGTGGCTGACAAGCTCTGGATGTAAGAGTGTGGTTGACACGCTTTGGATGTAAGAGTGTGGTTGACAAGCTCTGGATGTAAGAGTGTGGTTGACAAGCTCTGGATGTAAGAATGTGGTTGACAAACTCTGGATGTAAGAATGTGGTTGACAAGCTCTGGATGTAAGAATGTGGTTGACAAGCTCTGTATGTAAGAATGTGGTTGACAAGCTCTGGATGTAAGAATGTGATAAACGATGAGAGTATGGATGACAAACTGAAGGTGGATGAAAAGTGGATGAGGCTCCCTAGAGCCAACTGGAGTGTATAAAGACATAAAAAATGCAAGATATATAATTACTGTGTTTTCTGACAAGAATTATCAAAGTTTTAATTTTTAAAACTAAATCTAACTTGTGATTTGTATAATCTATCTATCTATATGTATGTGTGTGTGTGTATTATAATAATAATAAAGTCACTAATGAGACGTATGGGCCTAACCCTGCTTGCTGCAACAGCTGATGGTGGTCACCATGGCAACACATCACAAGCCTCGCCATATATCATACTCAGCACCCATAACTCCTCCCACACACACACACTAGGCTCATACCTTAACCTTCTCACTTAATTAACTCTTTTCACTTCTTATAACATTCTACAGTTACATTTTCTGACCACAAGAATACCCGAAGCAATAATAATAATAATAATAATAATAATAATAATAATAATAATAATAATAATAATAATTACAAAACTCTAGTTATAAACAATGAACCGATAAAAATGCGAGGAAGACTAATGTGTTTGTGCTACTTCCGTTGATAAAATAACAGACGACTATTTTTAAGCTTCCCCGAACTTTTTACTGTGACATAAATAATATATTGCAACCAGAATGCATAAATAATGTGCTGGAAGGCAGGAGAAAATTATGTTCTCTCTCTCAACGCAAATAAAAAATAAATTAAAGTTCGAGAGTGAATTAAAGTTTATTTAATACTTGAAATAAACTCGTGAACTAATCCCAATGTAAATTATTAGGCGGTATATTTTATGAGGTATAACCCAGGGGTCTGGGATGTAGTAGATATCTTGTGGGTATACTACTGGCATACAACAACGGTATACTCTGTATACAGAAGGCTGGAAAATATATTCACCGAAAATAATAATAATAATAATTATTATTATTATATTATGATTATTATTATAATTATTATTATATTATGATTATTATTATCATTATTATTATTATTATTATTATTATTATTATAAAACATTCATTGTTCTATTCACGGTTATTAAACTATATATTTCAGTCACTTATTTTCTCCCAACATATTTGTTTAAAAAGCCATAAACAGCAGCAGCTGAGCAGCAGTTGTCAGCCAACACAGCTGCTCCACCACAGCTGCGCCTCTCATCCATAGTAAACGTAGTTTTCAGCTTGTCAACACCTTCTTAATTTAACTAAATTAAAATAAACTTCTAGCACTGTGACGCATTTTAATTTGCATTTGGTTGTATAGAGAACTTTTCCACACCCATATATATATATATATATATATATATATATATATATATATATATATATATATATATATATATATATATATATATATATATATATATAATATATATACTATATTTATGTGCAAGAATTATCACCAAACACCTGATATATTAACATTGGGTATTGTCTCACGGCAAAACAATAACAAAATAAAAACTCATAAATAATAAGCACAACAAAATGTGTGGGGCTGATGAGAGTGTGAGTGTGTGTGAGCGCGCACGAGGGACGCAAGAGGTACCGCCTACAAGAGGAGGAGGAACGTCCGTACACCACGGCGGCTGCCTCACGACTGGCCTAGTCCCCCGCTGCCCACCCCGCCGCCGCCGCCGCTCTCATCCTCCACAGTTGCCACTTTACATAACATCAATCTCCATATTCCCGGAGTTTCACTTATCCACCAGCGCCTTCACTTATCCGGAGTTCTCATACACTTATCCGTAATCCCCACGAGTTCTCCACATTCTTCTTTCAATTATCTGTTCTACAGTTATCTGTTCTACGACTCTTCGCGGCGGGGATTGTATTCCAGGGACCTGCCCGAAACGCTACGCGTACTAGTGGCTCTACAAGAATGTAACAACTCTTGTATATATCTCAAAAAAAAAAAAAAATCCGTAATCCCCGCCAGTTCTCCACAATCCTCATTCAGTTATCCGTAATCCCCGCCAGTTCTCCACAATCCTCATTCAGTTATCCGTAATCCCCGCCAGTTCTCCACAATCCTCATTCAGTTATCCGTAATCCCCGCCAGTTCT